AAAATAACAATTTTATTTAGTTTGCTTGACAGAAAAGAATAAAATGTTGAGGTATAGACCAACTGTGTTTTTTTTTTTTTAAGTTTTCTTACACCCCTAAAATCAAGTCCTTTCAACCCCCAGTGAAGCTTTGGCGACCCCTAGTGGAGGTCGGGACCCCTAGGTTGGGAACCAGTGGCGTGAGCAGCAAGTAATGGCTTTTTTTAAAAATTTTTATCAAAATTTTTTTTAGCTATTTTATTGTATTCTGTGATTGTTTAAGATGATAATCATGTTTCAAAGAGAGGTACGTCAGTGTGGCATTCTTGTGTTATTTCCTCAGTACCTGCATTGTGACAAGTCTGTCATCCACCATGACTTCTTTCGTCAGGAAATCAGCCCCTATTGTGGCTTTGTACTGATTACTGAACTTCTTATTCACATACTGGTTCATCAGTGAGGTCTTGCCAACTCTAGGGAGAAAGGAAATCACAGAACAACATTCAGTGGCTATGATGGGCAAGAAAAAACTGACAGAAAGAGTCACTGTGATGAATTAGAGAAGCACAAAAATGGTTTCTTGCTTGCTGTTTTAGTGTATTGTCAGCAGATTAGATTCAGTACTGTAACTAAGTGTTTTCTTTACAATTCACCATCAGGCTTCTCTCCTATGGCCCAACATAACTCACCCGGAGTCTCCGAGGATGATGACTTTGAGTAGTACTTTCTTCCTTGATGTCATTGTGCCACAGCTGTGGAGACGAAAAAGTAGATTAGAGGGGATAGAAGCAGACCAACGCAGGAATTCAAACAAGATGGATACAACGATTAGCCTGTGATGACCCTCTTGATATGGGCCCACAGGTTTCACTGAAAGATGATATGTGTGGGTCTCAAAATACACTCCAAAGAAATGGGCTGGTTCTAGGAATGAAACCAAATGCAATGTCTCCCATGCTTGAGTTTCCTTTTACTTCACAAAGAAAGAAAAATACAGTAATCGGGGGGGGGGGAAACAATACGCTGTGCTGCATTGTACCCCGAGGCTCCAAATACAATTCATAAAACAAACAGTCCACTACGATGTGATACTCATACAACTGAGGAAACCATTCAATGGAAAAAAACTACATTGTCTCAGTCCCAACATTACAATAAATTGAAAAAACAAAAATGTGTACACACCCAGTTACTCCAAAATACACTCAGTGACAGTCATGTCTATACTGTAGGGCATTGTGATAACTTCCCATCCAGCACAAGAATTTGTTGAATATTAAAATTCCCCAGCTATTCAATAGTAAATCACTGTTTTGTGTCTGAAATCTACCAGCGACTTTAATTTTAACAATCAGGCATTGCACTCATCATTATCTACACACATATTTCAGTAAAACCACAAGTCAACAGCTTCAGCATCTATTACAGTCTGAAAAATACACACACACAGGCCTCAACTCTTCCTCTTTGAATGCAATCCTCCTTCCCCCATTGGCTAATCTCTATTTCCTTGATATAAGATCTCTGATAAACATGTCTGAATTCTTTCCCCCGGGGTTTTCATTGTGTATTTACATATGCTCTGCAAATGTGCCTTTTTCATCGATGACTATTATGATCTGCAACCACATATTTATGAATGATCTGGATCATCAGAAGTACAGATTGTTTTTGTACTAAAATCAATGGCTAATCAAACATGCTCATCTGTGTGCCTGCTCAAGACATCACCAAGCATTTCTGACTTTGGCTGAGAGTGCTTTGTAATAATAAACCACCTCATACAGCTGTTACGACCAAAGTCCAAACCCTATTAGCGATGGGCTTTAAACCACCAATCCATTCAAATTAAACCTCGGAGAAAGTGATTGTTGGAAAAAGATTAATCACAGGATTTATCCGAACATCACTCAACGTTTACGGCCACGTATGTGAATCAAAAGCCACGGCTTGAATCCATATCGGTGTTACTTTGAAGCAAAACTAGCATCGAGCTATCGGCTCTCATAATCTGCACCCCATGACACTGTGTCAGGGACTGATCACATGGTGTTAAAACACAGGACTAACGGAACCATGACTTGGCAAGCACGATTAGCACAGCAAATGCTGAAGTTGGATTGAATACACATGCCGGTAGAATACATAGTTAGGATCAACCTGTGGACAAATATATATATAAATATATAAATAATAAAATAATATATAAATATAATAAAATATATAAAGTCCTGTCTAAACATTTACCTAACGACCATAAAAGACATCAAGCACACTTGCAAGGGCTAGCAAGGTTAAAAAGAAAAGCTAGATAACTAGGAAGCAAACACAAGACATGGATTTAAAATTAATGTGAGCACAGTGTTATTTCAAACAGAATCTGTCCAACCACTGCAGCAGTGTTTCAGATACCGAGTCCACCGACAGGTATCAGCTACCGTTAACAGTGACACCTTCCTTCTTCTAGCTCAGCAAGCTTCATTTAACTAATGTTTATCCCCGACAGCTGGTGGTTAGTATACATCGTTAGTAAAACCAATAGTACAATCAGCACAAACCGACCTGGGCGGTGATCCTGCGGTTAGAAATATCAAAGTGGACTTTTCCTCCGCCTCGGCTGAAGCGTTAGCTAACGTTAGCTGGCTAATAGCCCTGTAAATGTCTGCCGTGAGAAAAACAACACGTTTACAGCGTCGACAGCTGGCCTCGGAACTACCGCTCCTTATCAAAACCCACGCTGCCACAGCCGACCTGTATCTGCCTCAGTGTAACAGGTTGAGTCGGTACAATGGTCCGGTTCGCCCTGTTCCCGTTGACGCTTGGTTTTCCTGTGAAGCTAACGCGCTAGCTGCTAGCCGAGCTGTGTTCACTTCCTCCAAAACAAGCTCGTCGGTAAGGGCTGACGTCACACACACACACACACACAAACACACCACACACACACACCACACACACACACACACACACACAACACACACACACACACACACACACACACACACCACACATCTAAACCAGTGGATATATGATGATTGGTTCACACAGCTGTCTGCACTGTACTATCTTTTTAAAAATCTATAACATAATGTATACATCTATAAATCTGATGATGGCGTTATAGCTGACGAGCTACACACAATAAGGACAGAGTCAATACATCTTTCCATGCATTGTTGTAGTGTTAGATCCAAAACCTTTTTCCTTCACTGACCCCTTTTCTGTCACTGAGTAAACTGACTGACTCAAATGTGTCAGTTAATACATGCAATAAATAAATAAAAGCAGGGCCCTGCTTAGGTCACATATTTTATGGATATTTAATTATATATTCAAAACTGTGCAATGAACTTAATAGTTCTGCTCAATAACTGCAAGACGTCTGTGTAAATCTAGTTACCTGACTCTTAAACCCAGCCTGTATATATGCATTACATTACACATTGTAAATATCATTCTTGTACAGCTTTAGAGCTTTCTACCTTTATTTATATTTAATTCCTTGATTTTTTTGTGATTCTTATGCACCAATGCACATTCCTTGTTTGTGTAAACTTACTTGGCAATAAACCCGATTCTGATTCGGATTATTTGGATGAAGTTTGAGCAGATTATTTCCTGTTTAGGAAACTTTTAATACAATTATCTGTATGTATGAAGTATTTTTTAAATAATTTTGAACAATCATACATACTTACTACACATTCAGTAATTTCTTGTGCCATTGTTCTATTAGACAATTTACTTTACATTTACTTTTCTTTACAAAAGTGAACAAATGAGATATAGGCCTACCTGTATATTTTTTTAAGTTTTCTAGCACGCTTTAAAATCGAGAAGGCCTTGCAACCCCACGTGAAGCTTTGGCAACACCTAGTAGGGGTCCCAACCCCCAGGTTGGGAACCACTGTCTTAGCTAACAATTCTGACTATTTATTAATGCGAAACAGAACAACAAAATGATGGCCTACAGATACTTTCATCTAAAGTCCTGCTGCAAGTGAAATGTGGCTTTCCTTTAGTGTTGCATAATAGGCCAGAATAACCTGCTAGAGGGCCTGAGGCAAAAATGTGACCTCCTCCCCCTCCCCAATGCTAAGATTAGTCATTCATTGCTGTCCTTCACTCCAGACTTTACCAGCCACTGGTGGGAGACCCTGATGTCCATCGTTGCTGTCTGCCATGGTGCCACCCAAGGAGGGTCTTTACCCCATGTCTGCAGCTGAGGTATTCTCTTAGCAGCTGATACTCCAGAGACACTTCACTCACATATCCACAGATGTTTCTTTTTTCATTAAAGACACTCCCTAAGTCCCACCTCATCTCCCGCCAGAGTACAGGGTGTAATAATGAGTTTTTAGGTCCTCCGTCTAGCTGCTTCAACAGCCTCCATGTCCTCTCTTGGCCAGCTTACTCTAACATCTGGGTATTTGTGTGTTTGTCATGTGGCGATGAAACATTTAACTGAAACTAGAAAATGTGTCTTATTTTATGTAGGTAATTTCATGCTGCTGGCTTTCATGCCTCCTTGTTATAGTTTCTTTGGAACTGAATCTCCATTTACAATTAAGGTATATGGCAGACTTTTTTATCCAGTGCTCCATAGTTACCTTATCTTTTGCTGCACGAATGCAGCATGCAAATCCACTGTTTTCAAATATGACTTGGACATTTATGTATAAGGGACCTTACTTTGTAATGTGCTTCTGTACCTATCTTCAGTCTGTCCCACTATTTTGGCCTGTCTGTATGTTTAAGTACAAGTGCCACATACAATACATTTATAACATCATTAGTCCGTCAAACGGCACAAATCTTATTGATATATTGACGTCAGCCTGACACGGGCCAGGACATGTCGATACTGCAGATATTTAATATTCAGACAGTCGGTCAGGGACCAACATTCAGAATGAAACATTAAAATCATTAAAAACGTCGCAGTGATTGTTTTTCTGCTTGTGTCACATTTCACTTCCGACGCTCGGCGCGTTGTAGCGAGCGCGCCGTGACGCCATCACGTCGGACCGAATGTAGCGTCATCCTTTCTGATGTAGAGCGGCGCGGCGGCCTTTCTCTGCTGCTCTACATTTCACACAGTGTGCCCGCTCTGATCCCGGTGTTGCAGCTCTTTTATTGTCTTCAACCATGGCTGTAAAGTCTCCGCTCCTGGCCGCCTGCCTGCTGCTTCTGTCCGTGAGCTGGGAGGTTTCAGCGGACGGTCTGGTGAACGAGGAGGTGAAGAGGACTGTGGACTTGAGCACTCATCTGGCTAAGATCACTGCGGAGATCGTGCTGTCCAACCAGGGACACTCTGCCGTCCAGAGCTTCGTGCTGGCGGTAGAGGCTGACCTGGCCCCGCACCTGGCATACATCGGAGCCTCGGTAGGTCGAACATTAGTGAACATTAGTGAACATTAGTGAACATAACATACACAACCAGCGCTCCTGGAGCCGGCTCGCTAGCTTTAGCATGTTAGCCACTCCACAGTGAACTGGTTACACAGATCGAGGCTCTACCGGATCTGGATGCTCTCACTTGTTCCATGTCTCTGTGTTAAACTGCCACAGTGCCCGAGTGAATATCATGCTCCCATACGATGGTACAGAGTTCACTGAACTGTTGTAATGTCGGCTATGAGCCTGGGCTGTGGGGTGTGATGCATTGTGGTCCTGCAGCCAGCTCTGCAGTTAGCCTAGCCAACAGTAGCTACTGTTTGAAGATGTGTGTTGCTTATTGCACGGTGTTTGCATCATGTGCTGTGAGCATGACTGTACCATCAGATCAGTTCATTTTGAACTGTTGAGGTAACAAGACGTTTACTTCCGCAGCGCTGCACGCTGTCACTGGCTGAATGACACGTATGCGCTGGGCAGCTCACTTCCGTGTGTGACTGCGCAGGCCTGCCCCCTCCACCGTGCACTGTATCAATGCTCTGTTCCTACACATAATGATACACTATACACGGTTTCTTCAAGGTGCTTTTATTGATTGCGTTATAAACCTCTCACTTGTATTCTGCTTGTCACAGTGTTTTCATTCCAAAGAGAGTTTGCTAACAACCAACATGTTTCCACAGGTCAAGGGTGATGAGGAGGAAGATGGCACACTTGAACTCCAACAGACTACAATTCCAGGCCAAAGGTAAGAGATCAAACAAGAGGCTCAAGCCCGTTTAAACAACCAAACTGATTTTACAGCAGTCACTAAATGAATGAATATGCTCAGAAGTGTCTGAGTGGCATTCATGATAGAACATTTAAATTAGTTTGACCTTTTAGCTAAGAAAACACCAATAGAAGAGAAGACCAATAATGTTGTCCCACAGTTCCTTGCTTCAGCAATCAAACGCTCACAACACACGCCGTTCTGTCAAAGTTACATTTAATTAAAAAAAGTGTTTGATTATTAAATAATATTTGACAAAAATGACTTAAATAAAATAAATATAAAGCTCAGTTTGGCACCATCTTCCATGTATACTATAAAGTATGAGGACCACCCCCTCTATATGAATTGTTTTTTAACAATACAAAAATGTATTCCTTAAAACAAGACTGCAGTTTGTAGAGAAGCTGATATTTTACAGCAGCAGCATTAACATCATTATGCAAATGTATTTTTACCCATGCTCCTCTCAGTCATATGTTATCTGTCCCCATACAGCGGGCAGTTTTATAAAGTGCAGCTGCCCTCCACTCTGGCAGCAGGTGCTCAGTTGAAAGCGAAGGTGGAGATGACATTTAGCCACGTCCTGAAGCCCTTCCCCACACAAATCACCCAGGCCGAGCGCCAGCTGGTGGTCTTCCAAGGGAACCACTACCTGTACTCCCCATACCCAACCCGCAGCCAGACCACGCGTGTCCGCCTGGCTTCCAAGACTGTGGAGAGCTACACCAAGCTTGGTAACCCCAGCAAGAATGATGAGATCGTCGAGTACGGACCCTTCCGCGATGTGGCGCCGTTCAGCGAGGTAAACCTCTGACCAGATTTGACCAGCTTCGAGTGAATGTGCAGGAACGTTGCAAAAAAATTTGTGTTGTGTGTGTGCTCTCTGCGGTCCAGGATACCATGAAGATCCATTACGAAAACAACACGCCCTTCCTCACCATCAGCAGCATCACTCGGACCATTGAGGTCTCTCACTGGGGTAACATTGCTGTGGAAGAGACCATCGACTTGAGGCACACAGGAGCCGTCCTGAAGGGGCCTTTTTCACGTTACGATTATCAACGTCAGTCAGACAGCGGCATCTCATCTGTCAAATCCTTCAAGGTGTTGTATTAAACAAACCAATCGTCTGACTTGTTTTTACTGTTAGGGTGATGACGATGACTATATATGCTTCCTCCCCAACAGACTATCCTTCCTGCCTCGGCCCAGGACGTCTACTACAGAGATGAGATCGGCAACATCTCCACCTCTCATCTGCAGGTGCTGGATGACTCAGTGGAGGTGGAGGTCAGGCCTCGCTTCCCCTTGTTCGGAGGCTGGAAGACCCATTACATGATTGGTTACAATCTGCCCAGCTACGAGTACCTTTACACCCTGGGTGAGTTGATCTCTGACCGCCCCACTAACAAACTACCTTTGATTGATTAATGGCTCTGAAAAGGGAAGCCAGTGTGGTAGTGCCTTAAACCTGCAGTCTTTCTAATGGCCAGGAAGGCGTGACTCTAATGGCTCTAAAAAGAAGTCTGATTGTATGCAAGTCTATGAGAAAATGACCCTAGTACTCACTCATTTATTACCTAAGTAAACATTTTCCTAACGAGTTCAGTTGCTAGTTTCAAGTCTTCTTCCACATAGCTGGATGTTTATTTCGTAAACTATGGTCCCATTGAGTGTAAAATGGACAATAAAGCAGGGGGCGCTTTTGGGGCAGGGTTACCTTGTGAGTGACAAGTTACTACAATGGTGTATCCACTGGTTCTTAGTCCGATCCAAACAGGATAGTAGTACGATGAGTAGCAATGCGTGTCCTTCACAGCTCCAAACAACAAGATGGCAACAGCCATAATGCCAAACTTGAGGCTTTATAACGGTTATCCAGAAACCAATTGGTTTCCATGTTCTAAATGACTCCAAACTGAGAGGAAAGGTGGATAATTAAGACAAAACCAGTGTCGTGATCAAGGGCCACCTCAGCAAAGCTGCTGGCATCAGGCTTTCTTTTGAAGCACATCCTGCCTAATCACTGAGTCCCAGTATATGTTGCTAATGTGTCACATAATTTTATCATCTAGGTGACCAGTATGCACTGAAGATGAGACTGGTTGACCATGTGTATGATGACCAGGTCATTGACTCCCTCACTGTGAAAATCATCCTGCCAGAGGGAGCCAGGTCAGTGTTTGCAAGCAATTCTACAGAATGTAAGGTTGAGTGCAGAGTCTGTATGCTGATTTCTCTCATTCTCCCCTGTCACGCCCTATCAGGAACATCCACGTGGATACACCTTACAGGATTGATCGCATGCCAAACCAGCTGCATTATACGTATCTGGATACCTTTGGCCGACCAGTGCTGGTTGCCACCAAGAACAACCTAGTGGAGCATCACATCCAGGATGTTGTGGTAAGATGACATACCAGCCTATTTTCAGAAGATTGTTAACAGTGTTAATAGTGGAGCCAGATAACCTGCAGAGTTGTAGACAGGTTTTGTTTTTTCAGCCTCAACAGATGTTAAAAAACACTAAATTCCTGAAGGTAATTGTGTTCTGCAGCAGTCAAGATGTTCACCTTCAGCCCAGAATGTAAACTTTAAACCCTTTTTTTTTTTTTTTTTTACATCAGCCCGTGTTTTAGATTTGTTAAAGTTTTTATAGCAAGGTTATCAAGATAAATAAAAAAATGCTTTGAGGAACAAGTCATCAGTAAAGCCTTTTAATTAGCTTAATTACGTGTATTTTAGATTGTAGGTTGCTATGGATATCACCTACATTAGGGCCTCCTAGTGGGCATTTGGATGTTTAGTGCTTTTTATAATGACTCCACTTGACCAAAACCAAAAACTACAAGGGGGCTGCTATGCCAGTACTTGCCTAATCCAACATGTAGATATGCTGTACTGTACTTTCATAATACATTATTCACAATGCTGCATCTTCACATTTTAGAATCTTTAAGCAGTACAGGCTTTGTATTTGTACCTCCATAAATGACTTTATTGATGAATTATTTAGAGTAGTAACCTATTCAAATTTTATTTATCAACTACTAATGAATCCATAATTGTTTCAGCACTAAATGTGGGGTTATTTAGCTCTCTCATGTTTCATTTTAGGGAAAATACATTTCTCACAGGACGCCCCTCATAGCCTATGGGTTAAGACACAACAACATTCCTGCCTCTAATATGGCCGGGGACCTATGGGGCACATCGTTCTCTCCCCTCATTTCCTCTCATCTCTCTACTATTGCTATCTAATAAAGCATAAAATGCAATAGGAAAAAACCTTTCAGTCAGTTCAGATACATGCTTTTGTACAGATCTTTAATTTTAAACATTAATGTAATATGTACTGTAAAACTTCACCCTCACTAGACTTTCTTCACAGTTGTGTGAATTTGATTTGAGCTGTGAAGTTGTGTTGAAATCTGAATGAATAAACCTCTCTTGTGATTACCAGGTTCATTATAACTTCAATAAGATCCTGATGCTGCAGGAGCCTCTCTTGGTCGTAGGAGCCTTCTACATCCTCTTCTTCACTGTCATCATCTACGTCCGCCTGGACTTTGCCATCACAAAGGTATGACAACATTCATGTGTTTCTATAAAGGGACCCTGGGGTCTGCTGGCCTTCCCTCCTTTGTCAGATGTTCTGCATACTCTTATGTGTTATGAATCAGTTTTAAATCAGCTTTATGTCTTTCTTTGCTCAGGATCCTGCGGCTGAGGTGCGCATGAAGGTCGCATCCATCACCGAGCAGGTGCTGACTCTAGTTAACAAGCGCCTGGGTCTGTATCGACACATGGACGAGGTGGTCAACCGCTACAAGCAGTCCCGTGACACCGGAGCGCTCAATAGCGGGCGGAAGACTCTGGAGGCCGACCACCGCACTCTCACCAACGAGATCAGCTCTCTGCAGGCCCGCCTCAAAGCCGAGGGCTCCGATTTGGCTGATAAGGTGAGTGACGCACATTTGAATTAAGTGAACTGAATGTGCAGTGAGGCTCACTCCTAGGGCTGCATGCGTACCTTGGGTCCTTTGATACTTTTATTGCACCGACCGAATAGTACAGACAACTACTGAACTTTATGCTGCTTGTTAGCTAGCCAGTGCAGCCAACCTGTATCTGCTCATTGGTGAGTTCATTCACCTCATTGTGCACTGGGATGGAAACCACTGCGCAATCTCTCCTCACCAAAGTTGAGACCGAGAGCTTTTCAGACGACGTGGTGTTCAGGAACGTTCGTTCGTTCAGGAACTGGTGTCTGGTGTCGAAACTGTTGACCCGTACCCAGCCCTAATCACTCCCCTCTTTGTGCTCTCAGGTCGGGGAGGTGCAGAAGCTGGACGGCCAGGTGAAGGAGCTGGTGTGCCGCTCATGCCAGGAGGCGGAGCGACTGGTGGCGGGTAAGGTCAAGAAGGAGGCTTACATCGAGAGCGAGAAGACTCTGACCAGCAAGAGACAGGAGCTCGTCAGCCGAATTGACAGTCTGTTGGATGCCCTCTAAACTACTCCTGCCACACTCGCACACAGAAACAGTTAACACCACCCTTACTACGACATACAGCCGACTATTTGTATGTATGAGAATTAAATGTGACACAAATGCTTACACATTTTTTTTTTTTTTTTTACCATCCTTGAATCCAGACATGGACTGTTAACATCTCATCTTATGGTAGTGATGGGTTTATCTTGTGCCTTGCGATAAACTCGAGGTCACTGTGTGCTCAGCTCTCCAGCAGCTACGTCATTTTAGCATTTTGTTTTTGTTTTTGAGTTTGTTGAGCTATACTTCAACTTCGCACACCTTGCTCAGACTTGACACTTCATTTCTATGTTCTGGACTTTGTATTTTTCTTCGCCCCCCCCTCCCCTCTTAAGTATGTATGGTTATGGGACTTTTTTTTTGTTGAAACGAGCTAGCTGAAGGGCCCAAGTGTTTTTCGGTCTCATGTCTTTACTCACATACGCTGTTTTCTAAGATTGAATCATCTAGTTTTTAAGTATGAAGGTGAAAGTCTTTTCCGATCTTATCTCTTTTGCACTTACAACTTTTTTCTACTCGCCCCAGGCTGACGTTTATATTTGAACAAATTTGAAGCTCTGATTCTGTGTCATCCCCAACACTTTTTGCTTGATGTACATCAGTCATATTTTCTACATTTTGTATGATTTTTCTTTTTTGTTTTGTAAGTGGTGTTTTTTTTTTTTGACCATGAGATTAGTGAATTCATGAGATTAGGCTATATGCGAGAAAAGACATGGGAGATGGGACACAGATGTTTGTGAAATGGGCAACTGTATGAAAAGCTGTCAATTTGAAATAAAGTTTTGAGAAACTCATTATTTAGTATGTTTTTTAGAAGAGAAGATGGATGGAGTTTTCTGTTTTTGACTTGTGTATTAGTTCATTTGGGAAAGCAGTACCCATAGTTCATCAAAAGAGGGTGCAATTGTGTCAAGAACCGACATTTCACCAAATCAGAGGCCGTTATTTCTCTTCCAACAACACTGCGGTGTCTTTTGACCCTTTAAATGCTGATGAATCTGCTGACATATAGGTAAATATGTCATCCTAACATCCCAAAATAAAAATAAAATACATTTGCAGAATGACTGGTGCCCCCTTTTAAAACTGGCACATCAGAGGGAATTTCCAACACATTGTTGCATTCCTTGTTTCAGAGTAACCCCACCTAGCACCCTCTCCTCCCCAGTCAGCAGAGCAGACGACCTGTCCTGGAGCACAGGACAAACATAAGGGTCAGACTGAGGTCATCGCTTTCCCTGTGAGGTCACCAGAGGTCGTGGCAGGTCATTTCCTGCTCTATAATAACAGGCCCCGTTCCCCTCACAATGATAATGTTAACATATTGTATGTGCCATACAATAATCATTCTGAAAATACACAGCAGGGGGAAAGCGAAGACAATGTCTGTTAGCACTGATGCTCGGTGCTGGTGAAAAGGCACACAATGGCATTTTTGTTTCTATGTTTGGACTTGAGTAGAGATTTGGAGCAGAGAGTTCGGTGAGCCGCCGAGTCTCATTCTCACAGCAGAGCAGAGCAGGCAGACTGCCTCGACACGTCCACCTCAACACCAGACCACTGAGCTCACGTCTGCTTGCCACTCTGTAATGATGCTATCAGGTCACTCTGTGAGTTCAAATGTTGGACTGACGTGATTGAAAGATTCCTTTGGGGACTGAAAACTCATTTAAAATGTGTGGATTTGAGAGGTTTTATAGAAGGAAGCATTGGCCTTTAAATTAGTTAAGACCTGAGTTCATCAGTATGCTTAAGCTCTCTGACCTGCTCTCCATCCTAGGATCAATACTGTGATGGAGATTCATAATGATACCGCAGCAGTTTGAAAAGGAATGATGTCACCAGGATTTTTGGACCATTGTTGCATTTATCAAGCTGTTTGTAAAATTTCTTAAAAACTTAAATTTAACAGAGCATCACATGTCTCTTGAGTCAGAGTAGATTTTGGATGGAGAGCTCAGCATGCAGCTTCTGGGTCACGTTTTGAAATGGCAGTATGTGAAATTCAGAAAGGGTTAGGAGAATCGAATAAAGCTGGCACTGATTTTGTTTGCGATCCGTTTATATGCATTTCCATGGTCTACACTTGTCTTTGTGGTATTAAATTACCCTTATTTTCTCTAATTTAGGCCAACACCAGCAGCATTCCCCTGCTTTCAATTTCCTATTATTTCATCCCCATTTATATTTTATATATCATCAATATGTAGATTGTTGGCAATTGCTGTTGGAGGTAAGGCAGACAGCAGTAACTATGGAAACAGTGAAATTAAGAGAAAAAGGGTTTGAAGATTTAAGACTCCTCACCAGATGTCACTGTTCAGATAATGTAGACAGAATAGGGAAAACATGACAAAGTATGTTGTTTCTTCAGCTCTTGGGTCAATGACCTAGTGTGATCACAATCACTCTTTAATAAACTATATTTATTTATTTTAAAGGAAGCTTAACAACATGAAATCATGTGAATTCCACCAGACTGCAGAGATGGCAGTTATTGCTACTATTGCTAAGCTAGGATAGTTAGCTTTGAGCAGGACTAGTTCATCTGGTGTTACTGGTGTTATTGCTTCTCCATTATTCTCCATTATAGTGAGACTTTGTTATAGTTTTATTTATCTGGTACAAATAAAAACTCATTAACTAATATGTTGGAGCATCAAATTAAAAACTGTAAATTTGCTGTCTTGCCAGCTAGCCTTGAATAGCCAGAAAGCTGTCTGTTTTTTACCTCCATTTTTGAGCTCTTGCGAAATCTACATGCTTTAAAAAAAAAACAGAAATCACACACTTGTATGGTATATTCTTCATGGTAAGATTAGATTCTGGTCTCAATTTGAACCAAATGTAATGTGACTGTATTTAGGCTTTGTAGGGCAGAAAACTGCCTTTCTGATTGGCTATTCATTTTTAGATTATGATTAATAATCATGTGATTTTATCTGTAAATAGAAGTAAGTTGCTTGATAAATGTGCCTTATTCTTTCAGAAGATTTTAGATGTGTCTTTAGGGCACTTTTCAGTGTAATTCTTAAAGGTTAGATAAATACAGGCTCAGATACTGAGGATAAGACACATTTGAGCTGTTGGAGCCATTTTTTAATGTTAGAAGGACGTGATTATAATACAGCTGGACCTAGGTCATGAAGGGGCATCACAGAATATGGCTGGACCTTAAGGTTTATGTCATCATACATCGATTTGTTGATGCATTTGCTTCCCCATTTGGCCTTTGTATCACTGACAGGGCATTGTCTTGTGTGGTGTTGGTGTTTGGTTGATTGGCCTTACAGTCTTTTCAGTTCCAGCCCTGTCCTCTGGTCCAGGATGTGATTACCGGTCGCAGAAGAACTGCGGTTTATCTGTTGGCGTAAGCCGAGCAGAATACTGTTTAAACCGGAATTCATGTGCTGCACTGTATCCTGATGTGGCAAACCGTGTGTGTGTAAGTGTGTGTTTGAGGTGGATGAGGGGGTTTGTGCAGGGTGCTGGACTGGTTGGGCCATGTGGTTGAGCTGTCATGGTCCCCCCTCAGACATGAAGTTGATTATTATCTTCCTTTCCTGAAGTATAGTAATGATGCAGAGTGTGTTCTTTCTTTATCTGCCAGAAGAATAATGAATATGCAGAAAAATGTGGAGTCAAACTAAGTATCCGTTGAAGGGGTAATCCACAGGCCCTGGGTCTTGTGACGTGGTGGTGATTGATTACATTGAGGGCTCACCTGCCGTACTCTGCCTCTTAATCTTTCTCGCTCTAAAATACACACACATACACACACACACACACAAAGAAAGGCAGAAGTCACCAGTCAGGGAACAATATCCTGCTCAGAAGACCCTTCACAGCACACTCTCATAAATCACTGACACAGAGCCACCACCCTCACTGTCAGCATGTTATTATGCACACACACACATGCTCAGTTCCACGTTCCTCACGACATACGTACTTTCATTCAATTCTGTCAATCCTGCTACCCAGCCATAAAAGGATGTTGTCAAAAAGAAGAAATATGACTCGAATCTAAACTCAAAACTCGCCCTCAAACACACCTCACCTGCGTTGAGTCCCCCTGGCTCTGCTTAAAACACACATCCTTTACAACAGCCGCTCTGTGTCCCGCTCTGCCCTGGCCCTCTGCACCGGCCATTCTTCAGTGACAGGGTGCCGGGATGAGAGGCTCTGAAGGGCGAGGTGAGGGATGGATGAAAGGCCCCGCGGCTAAGGTCCCGGAGCCCTGCGTCCTGTGCAGGTGGCAGGTGTGATCTGGCCGGGTGCAGAAGCGTGAGGGCGAGGAAGAGGAGGACAATGAAGGCGTCTGTGGCCCTCGTTGCAGCTGCGGGAGGCGGGGAGGAGCGGGGCTAACAGATAAGACGGTCGGACAGATGGAAAGACGGAGGAAGGGAAGGACGGTGTAGGGAGCGCAAAGATGGAGATGGGACTTCAAACAGAGGATTGAGCCCCGGGTGCAGAGAGACACATTCTTGTCTGGCATGGAGGAGGTGGGGACAGAGGGAGAGCAGGAAAGATGGATGGCACAAAAAAAGGGGCGAGCATCAAAGTCCTCTGTCGTGCTCCTCTCATGCAGATGTTTACATCGTGCACACTTTTGCTCAAAGCCTCTGCGCTCTGCCTATATCTGTGTGCATATTGATGTCAACCTCCCTCTCTGTATGGATTTGTATCGATGAGACAGTAATCCTCTTCCCTTGCCGCCCTTGTGTGCAACTGTCCACAGCTCCCCACTAAGACCCACTGATCTCTGCCACATGGCGCTCCATCAAAGCACTGATGGTCATGCCTCTCAGGGCAAGTTGTGCCAAAAAACGCACCCGCGTGGCTCATATATGTCCCTCAGTGCAGAGGATAAGCGGCAGATGAAGGTCTGACTCTACTTTAGACTTTGTATCATCTTGGATCACATGAAGGCGAGTGAAACAAAGCTGCTCTCTGTTAAAAAGCACTCTTGTCTGAGCGTGTGCACAGACACACACACACGTTTCCTACTTTCTCTATCGGACCTGATTAGAGTGACAGGGGCACTTCCCATTGGCTGTGAGAGTGGCCCTCTCCTTCCCAGGGCAGCCAATTTCCCCTACTCCAGAGCTGATAGGAAACTTTGATTGTCCACTGAGCTCAGGAGAGACAAAGAGATTTTTTCCTCTTGCAATCCACATATCGCTCCATCACATCTCTACCTACAATCTCCTTCCCCACTTGCTCTCTCCTCCTCTTTTCTGCCATCTCTCCCTCTTGAATTTTCTTCCCTTATTTCCATGTACTCACTGTCTGCTGAATGCGAGTCCATTAAACTGGCACTGGCTGCTTTGATGGGCAGGAAGTTTCACTTCATGTGGTGACATCTGCATCCTGTGACACAATCCTACCTCGCACACATGATCTACTGTCTTGGCTTACCACTGTCCACTAATAGCAATACTATAATTTAACACTGTGAGCACAGGCGGATGCTGCTAAAAGCATTTGCATACCGGTTTGTACATGTGTGTTCGGGTGTGAAGTGAACCGAGAAATGGGGGGCGGGGAGGGGGCGGACAGAATAAGCCCAGCGTCTAAGCATGTGGAGAGAGCCAACAGGAAACATCAGCCTCACTCCCTCTCTCCACCCAATGCTGGCTCTCCCTGAGAACACACTTCCTGTCAGAGCTCCTCTAACTTCCTGTCCAGCCACCGGGAATCCCAGCTGGAACATTCTAGCTGTGCAGTAGTCCACCTCCCTCTCTGAGCTGCTTGATTGTTACAATTTCTCACTTGCTCAATCCCCCAGAGTC